AATTCTTTGCCATTCGTTCATTTCTCAAATATTTCAAGTTAAGGTGATTATTTAGAATATTCTACAAAATTTCTAAATTTAGTTTAGGTTGTTTTGTATTGAGCTTATTTATCTGCACCCTATTTACATTTTGGGTATAACAACATGCTGCGTGAATCAAATAATATATTATACCAAACATATGTAAAACAAAATGAATTTTGTTCAAGTTCTCATCTATAAATATTGAATTTTTTAAAATTACCATCATATGAATCTCACAGGAGTTTTAGTTCATAAATAATTTTCATCCTTGTCTACATACTAAAACAACTTAAAATTTAAATTTTCTTTAATAGAAAAATGATAGGTTTTGAAAAATATTAGGCAACTCTTCTATTTTAATATATTTAAATTGGGTGATGTTATAAGAATAATATTTTTATATGACATTTTTATATAACATTTTTATATCACCTTTTGATACAACTTTTACATATCATTAAATGAATGGATGTATTCAGTATCATGAGATTCACATGAATAAAAAATCCATGTGAATAAAAAGAACCAGTTATATAAATGATATATCAGGTTGTACAAAAAAGTGGAATAAAAAGATTGTCGCAAAATCATTTCCCTATCTAAATTATGCCAACGACTTAAATAATTCAGTGAAAATTTTATTCTGCTAAAACTAAGAGGTTTTGAATTCGAGTCACATGACATACGAGTGAGGTAAGATAAAAAATGAAAGAGGGTTGCTTCCCGTTATGTAACCAACATAATATATATATATATATCTAAATTATAAAACTATAAATTTTTCACGTTTTACAAAACTAAATAAATAAATAATATGCAAGTTAGTAACACTATAAAATATAGAAGTGAATAACATCCTACTGCTGAATGTATGTCACTGAGTTTCTAAAGACTACTAAGACTAGTTAATGCTTTTGCTTATACATGTACTATTGTTTGGTATAACATATTGAAATTAGTTCGTAAGCAATGTTTTTAAATTATAAATGACAATAAATATCAATTGTCAAATTAAAACTATTAATTTCAAATTACTATACTAAACATTTTTAAGTGTTAGTACTCAACTTAATGGAGACCTCTCATTTTTTGTTGGCAATCGGACGACCTTCCCTTTTATTCCTTACACATTTTTTCCTATCTTGACTTGCACAACAAGGCAATTATTTCTTATCATTACTTTATTCACCTCACATGCATATTTACTATTGGAAGATGACCTCTTGATTAATCTTCATTTAGGCATAAATTAGAAAAATGGTAGATAGGGTTCCTTTGAATTAACTATTTAAATATTACTAGTAATTGATAATTGATATCTAATTTAAAGATCAACCACGATAACGTCTCTTATTCAACCAACAAGAATATCTTTTATTTAATGGATAATTTTACACACTTGGTGATCTTCCTTACTTAATCCTCGTTCAGTCTCCTATGTTCTATCATATGGTCTATAGTTGGAAAGCATCAACTGAACTGAACTCAAACTAAACTCAACTTTACAATTGTATTATGCAATACACCTTCAAGGGTAAAGATCAACTTACACGTGCTACTCAATCCAATTAACAAGACCAATCTGCCATTTCTCTTTGTTTGACTCATGGCTTAACATGTCTTTACAAGCTTCATCTCAACATCAAGCATCCTTTCTCTCTAGTTATCAGATCCATGAACCTTCTTTTTAACTGCTTGCTTTTGGACACTTTAGTAACATCTTTCAGTTTCAAACTCTTCATGGGGGGCAAGGGGCTGCCTGTATCTGTGGCATCCATGATTTGGTTCACCATCTCGAGGACTTCACTCATTTTGGGGCGTGCTTTTGCTTGTCGCACCAAGCACTTGTTTGCAATCATTGCAAGTTTGTGTGCAGACTTGAGACAGTACTTCCCTTCAAGCCTTGGGTCTAAGATCAGCCTGAACTTCTTTATATCAGATAGGTGTGGCCCAATCCATTCCAAGAGTTTTTGCTCACTCTTGGGGCGGCTTTGATCCAAAGGGCGCCTACCAGTTATGAGTTCATAGAGGAAAACTCCATAGCTCCATACATCACTTTTTGATGTGAGACGCCCAGTTTGAATGTATTCCGGTGCTGCATATCCAATGGTTCCAACAACCTGTTCAGAAATTGGATATATTTATTAAATTAGTTCATCTATTCCTTCAAGTTAGACATATTTCATAAAAATAAACCCCAACGTATGAAGAAGTTAGAACTAAAAGAGCATAGAAAAAACCTACCGCAGTGGAGATATGACTTAAGCCATCTGAAGGCCCAAGCCTGGCTAACCCAAAGTCTGACAATTTTGCATTCCATTGTTCATCCAAAAGTATATTTGAGGGCTTAAAATCTCTGAAAATAATCTGTCAACCATGGAAAACTATATTTCTTGACAGGAAGAACATTGCAAGCTTTTTAAGAAGAAAATGCTAATTCTTTATTATCAGTCAGATCTAGGGAAATGCTATCTCAACATCTTAAGCAAAATCAAATGATCGATGAGTTAAACATGGAAGGTAAATCGCAAGTCTCAAACCACACAAAGTATTATCTAAAATCATAAATTTTGCCCCAAATCATGTGCATAATTGTGAATGTAGAACACTCAACTGTACCACTATGGAGCAAGATCTAGCAGGAAGAAATAGGCACCTGAAAATCCATTCCCTCATGGAGGAATGCTAGGCCTCGGGCAGCATCTTGGGCAATTTTCATTCTTGTGGTCCAAGGAAGAGATTGAGACCGACTTGATAAGTGATCCTGCACACTCCTGTTGGGCATATATTCATATATCAGCAGCCTCTGGATTCCTCTTTCATCATCTTCAGCACAGTAACCCACTAATTTGACAAGATTTGGGTGTTCAACAACTCCTAAAACATTTACTTCCGTCACCCATTCTTTATGACCCTGTGAATAGCAGGTGGAAACAGATGTTGAATACCTTAATTACGACAGAAAATTGCCACTTTTGCAGGAAATAATTTAAGAGGAAAAATCCAATACTACTTTCAGCTGCAGGAAATAATTTAAGAGGAAAAAATCCAATATTACTTACCTTCGTATTTTCTTTCTAATTGGAATGCTATACAAAGGAGTTTCTATGTTGTTGAGATATGAAACTTAAGAATTATTTACCATCAATTGCATTGTCCAAGATAACACAAGATGAGAACTATAAAAGAAAAATGAAAAAGAAAAAGAAATAATACGCTGAAAGGTCACCTGCAACCCTCTTCTGCTCAGCTGTTTAACAGCAATGTCTATTTTCTCTTTTGGATCCCCTGTGCTCCGGATTACACCCCTGTATACACCACCAAATCCACCTTCTCCAATCATTACAGAGTGGCTGAAATTCTTTGTAGCTGCCTTCAACTCTGTGAATGTGAACACTCTGAGATTAGTGTGCCTTTGAGACAAAGCAGCAAATGAGTTCTTTGTGGAGGATTCTGTGCTAAAATCTGAGACATTCTGAGAATTGAACTCAGATCCAGACCTCTTCATATCTTGGTCAGTTGACATGGAAACTGAAGTGGTAGTGGAGGACAGGGCAGAAATGGATTTTGTAGTCTTTGGTTCTTCATTCTTCTCTTTACTAGAGAAATTAAAACACTTCATGGCCCTAGAAAAACAGACTGCGAGTTGCACATTAACAATTATATCATCATGGACTAACTAAATTACTTCCATTATCATCATGATGTGCTTCATACTATTATTAACCACAAGAAATCACACAGAACCAATAAAACAAAGAAACAGCATTCATATAAAATGAAAATAATACCTATCCCCCTTCATGTTCAGTTAGTATAAAGTCAGGTCAACTTGAAACTCCAGTAAATAATCATAAAAGAACAAGATTTATAAATCCAACATGGTTGTTGACAAGATAATGAGGCCAATATTCTTTCTATTATAAGTGTAACAAGTCTGTTTCTTACCTTGATTGCACCTAAATTTCATCTTCATCAGTAATTGAGCAACTAACAAGTCCAAACAATCAATTATCTTTGCTTTCTAGGAAAAATAATCAATTTTTCACAAACAATACCAAATCTAGACATGATAACCTAAAGGGTCATCAGTTACACCCTAATCATGCTACAGAATTCCCAAACAAAAGCAAGTGCAAAATCAAACTTCATCTGCTCTTCAATTTGATCAAATGCTAGCTTTGTCACCAACTATCTGATATTAGAAAGCAGAAAGCTTGAGAAACTCAAACTTTTTATAACAGATGGGAAGAAATTCAACAAATTTTGATAGTGAAAGACAAGTAAAGAAATTCTATAAAGACCCATCTGATAAAACGTGAATAATTCGAGACAGGGGTCTCACCTGTTCTGAATTCCGCCTGAAACTGAGAAAACAGCAGCTACGTTTGAGCGTTTTTCATGGTAAATAAATACCCAGAAAGCAAAAAAGGAGATAGGAGAGCATCCGAGAAGACAGCAACGAGCACTCCACGATCCAAGGCAAGGCAAATAGATGACAGCTGGATTGTAGCTCACCAAACAAGAACCCCATTAGGTTCCAAAAAAGGAGAAAAATTAGGC